TTGTGTTACTTTGGACGAGCCGATAGGTAACACATAGGATTTATCATAAAGCTTGTCATGGTATTAGCCTTGAAATTTGTCATGATATTAGCCTTGAAATTTGACATGGTATTAGCCTTGATATTTGTCATGGTATTAGCCTTGAAATTTGTAGAGTGATTATCTTAAAGATTTTTATGATAGTAGTGTTGAGACTTATCATGGTCTTAACCTTGAGACTTATCATGGTCTTAGCCTTGAGACTTATCATGGTCTTAGCCTTGAGACTTATCATGGTATTAACCTTGAGACTTATCGTGGTTTTAGCCTTGAGACTTATCATGGTCTTAGCCTTGAGACTTATCATGGTATTAGCCTTGAGACTTATCATGGTCTTAACCTTGAGATTTATCATGGTCTTAGCCTTGAGACGTATCATGGTCTTAGCCTTGAGACTTATCATGATCTTAGCCTTGAGACTTATCATGGTCTTAGCCTTGAGACTTATCATGGTCTTAGCCTTGAGACATATCATGGTCTTAGCCTTGAGACTTATCATGGTCTTAGCCTTGAGACTTGGCGTGGTATTAGTATTAAAGCTTGTTATGGTAAAGGTCTCTAAACTTGTCTTGGCATTTGCCTTAAAAGTTGTCATGTTATGAATCTTAAAACTTGTCGTGATTGTAGTTTTACATCTTGTCATTTTAACAGTCTTGATCTCTATCATGTCATTAGCTTTGAAAATGGTTATGGTATTTGCCATCCAACTTGTTATGTATTAGCCTTGTAACTTGTCATGGTATGTCTTCAAATTTGTCCTGGTAATAGTTTTGAAACTTGTCTTGATATTAGTCTCACAAAATGTCATGGTATAAGCCTTGATATTTATCGTGGTATTAGCCTTGAAACTTGTCATGGCATTATCCGTGAAGCTTGACATGGTATTAGCCTTGAAGCTTGTCATGGAATTAGCCTTGAAGCTTGACATGGCATTAGCCTTGAAGCTTGTCATGGCATTAGCCTTGAAGCTTGTCATGGCATTAGATTTGAAGCTTGTCATGGCATTAGCCTTGACGCTTGTCATGGCATTAGCCTTGAAGCTTGTCATGGCATTAGCCTTGAAGCTTGTCATGATATTAGCCTTGAAGCTTTTCATAGCGTTAGCCTTGAAGCTTGTAATGGTAATAATCATGAAACTTGGTATTAGCCTTGATGCTTTTCATGATGTTAGAGTTGAAACTTGTCGTGGTATTACCCTTGACACTTGTCGTTGAGTTTTCATTCTTATCATGATATTAACCTTGGAACTTGTCACAGCATTAGCCTTGAAATTTGTCATGGTGTTAGCCTTGAAACTTGTCGTGGTATTGGCCTTGAAACTTGTCGTTGAGTTTTTATTCTTGTCATGGTATTAAGTTTGGAACTTGTCATGGTGTTAGCCTTGAACGTTATCGTGGTTTAAGTCGTAAAGCTTGTCGTGTTATGAGTGCTAAAAATTGTCATTGTTTTATCATTTGTAACTTATCATGGTATTAGGCTTAAAGCTTGTCATAGCATTAACTTTCAAACTTGTCATAGTATAACCTTTTTAACCTCTCATGATATTGGTCTTACAACTTGTGTTGTTATTATCCTTGAATTCTCTCATGGTATTATCCTAGAAACTTGTCGTGGTATTAGTCTTAATGCTTGTCTAGATATTATCCTTTACATTGTTCATATTGTTAGCCTTGAAACGAGTGGTATTAACCTTGAAACTTATCATGGTATTAACCTTGAATCTTGTCATAGTTTTAACCTTGAAACTTATCATAGTAATAGCCATAAAGCTTGTCATGATGTTAGTCTGAAAACTCGTCATGGTACTAGTCTTGGAACTTGTCCTGGTAATAGTCTTAAATCTTGCCATAAGCATAGCCTTGAAACTTTGCATGATATTACTCTTTAAGCTTGTCGTGTTATTAGCCTTAAAACTTGACAAGGTGGTAGTCTTAAAGGTTGTAGTTGTATTAGCACTAACACCCGTCATGGTATTAGCCTTGAATATTGACAAGGTGGTAGTCTTAAAGCTTGTCGTTGTATTAGCAATAACACCCGTCATGGTATTATCCTTAAATATTGACAAGGTGGTAGTCTTAAAGCTTGTCGTTGTATTAGCACTAACACCCGTCAAGGTATTAGCCTTGAAACTTGTTATGATATTAGACTTACAACTTGTCATGGTAATTGTCTTAAAACTTGACATAGTATTAGGCTTGTTACTTGTCATGGTATTAACGTGTCGTTGTAATTTGTCGTGGTCTTAGCCTTGAAACTTGTCATGGTATTAGTTTTAAATCTTGTCATGGTATTAGTCTTTAAACTTGTCATAGCATTTAACAAAAATGTGTGAAACTACAAGTCTTGTTACAGCTCGCTTTCTTTATAACAAATAAAAATACCTAATGAATTGTTACGATTCTATAGTCAGTGTTACGACCCTGTAGTTTAATTGTGTGTGTTAAGGAATGAATTTTGTATAAATCTTTTTATTTCATTTTATTTCATTAAATGAAATTATTAATATAAGTATATTATTAGTCTAATATGTTGTTGAAAAACATATTTATTTGAGTCGTAAATGTGACGCATGTGAGCATGTGCTGTGTATGATAAAATCATTACAAGTAAACATTAAGGAATAGCTATGAAAACAATTGGCTGATACTTGGTCAGGCTTTCCAGAAGTATTACGAAATGGCATGAGTCCTCGTGCGCGTGCAATTTAAACAACGTATTAGCTTCATTTATATGTTTGAGAATTTTGTAAGACGTACACAGTTACGGACAGACAGTTGTAGTCAAGAGTCAAAAATCGACAGTCGTAGTCGAGTCATACACAGTCGTAGAGTCGTAGAGTCAGTTATACTACTTCTATTACCTTAAAAAGGTATTTTTGTGCTAGAAGAAGTTGTCTATTTGTATGTCTACGTAGAACAATATGTCTTGTTAGAGGAGCTAATTTTACTTCGTTTATCAGAATAATTGTTTTCCTGGAGAACAACATTACTGATTTGGGCAGACATTTTTCCGAAAATATTCTAAATTGGAATGGAACAACACAAACTGTGCTTTATTGTGCAAATTCTGGAATTTTCTGTTAGCCTTCGTCTGACGTGGTCATCCGCCATTTTGGACCGGAACTTCAGACACTTCAGACTGTGTATAGAACTTTTTACAGGACTTATGTTTCTATTTTGAACAAACAATTTGGATTGTTTATGTAAAACCGAATGTCTTGTTGAACATATTTACACTATTGCATGTTTTCTAGGAAAATAAATTATTTGTTTGTTAAAATTTACAGAGCTTGTTGTTTTCACTCTTTCTTTTTTCACTTTGAACGAGCCGATACGTAACACATATAATATGTACGGGCAAGAGTGATAGTTTTATGAATTTCAACAAGTATTTTATTTCCCTTCAATACAAGCTGAAACTCAGAAAGAACTTACAGTATTATGAATTTAATCCCCCAAAGTCATAAACGTCCTATCACAAGTCCAAACGTATGAAGATCCAATCGAATTTGAGCGAATTTCAATTCTAAATAAATTAAGATATTGAACTCGTTGATGTGTCTGTAGCCTCGAATATCTTAATGTCCATATGACCTCAAATGTGGAGATGTGTTAATTGTAATTTGATGTATCACAATAGATTCATCCAAACTGTCCTAGACTAAATTCACTATAATTCCATATGATTGTTTTATAAAAAGTTGCAACTTGACACAAACTCAAGACTACTTCTTCTTCCAATAAATAACATTGGTACAAAATCAATAAATGCTATGACACAATTTAAAACATTTAAATTTATCAACTGGTCTGTAAATGTCTAAGTCGAAAACTGTGTCCTTGACAGAAATTCAAATAAACGTGCTTATCTCCATTATTCTGAATACTTAATCGTGGAGAAATATTAGCTATATATTACGTTCTTAACAAACTAACGACACAGGTCTTATACACTATAAACTTCATCTTGGACTAAAGTAAATTACAACATACAGATATAAATAGCATATATTTACTAAGAAATAGATATAGGACATTTTCTTTTCATACGTTATCAACGGATATTATTCATTGTGTGGTTACAAAGACATGATATTGTAACGAGTGGAGAAGCTGCTAGTTAAAATATAGTTTTTAGTACCACAAGAAAAATATCTGGTATTAATGTAGGAAATGAAAATGTTATTTTTATTAGACCAAACTTGTTCAGAAGACTTAAACTCAATCTTTGGAACGACGAGTTCACCCCACCCGATTTTTAGTAAATTCATCGTATATTGATAATCTGATCATATGCGTGATTTAAGAAAGTTGTACGATTGGGTTGACCTAATCTGCCCCAGCATATTGCATTTTTGTCATTTTGTAACCTATTTGACCCTATTTGACAACAATGCCACTTTGACTCAGCAATGCATCATCAAACTTTTTGTCGTTGTTTTCAAGACAGAAAGGATAATAACAATGTGAGAGATGCGAACGGCGACTGGTCAAATTTCTTTATCAAATATAAATTTCCATGACTGAAATGTAAGTCAGTTTCTATTTATTTATTTCTCACAAGGTACTTTTAATGTTATTGCCAGTACAACTTTTTGTACGCATACATAATCAAGAGTCGTATGGCATGATGGGAAATGTTTTTTTTTCATATGTGAAAATATAAGGATATATTTTTTCATATACTATAATATAAGGATCTATATTTCACATGTGAAAATACAAGAATGAAAAATTATGAAAATTGTTTCGCCAATAAGTATTTATATTTAACACTTAAGTATATAATAAAATTGAATATCAATAACAGAAAAATCTCTGAATTATAAATATGGATATTATATCAGCCGATGCTATGCGTACAAAACCAACTGTATACATGAAATCTCTTTAGTGTCTAGTCATGCAGTTTTAATCCGATTATCGAAAGGGGGGTATTTTGTTGTTTTTTTTTTCTTAACCGCTCCGGTGGCCTAGTGGTTAGAGCGTCCGCCTTGGATGCTGTAGGTTGTGGGTTCTATCCCCGGTCGAATTATGCCAAAGACTTACAAAATTGGTATTAACAGCTGCCTCGCTTGACGCTCTACATTAAGAGGTTAGTGTTAGGACTGGTCGGCCTGGTGTCAGGATAATGTGACTGGGTGTGACATCATTCTACATGTCTGCTAGACATCACTATAAACTTTCACACTGTAGACATCGTAGCGATATGACTGAAAAATTGTTAAAGCTACGTTAAAATTATAAACACACCACACCGAACGGGTTTTCAAGAATATCGTAGATATTTATCAGCTTTGTATTAACTCTATATGCATTGGTTAATAAGGAAAATATTTGTATATGCTGTTCAAGTTAAATGATTAAGGTTGAAAAATCCTAAATGTAACGAATACGAAGAGATTTATCAACTACTTGAGTATTCAGTAATGCACTTTGTTGTTCAAGCTGGGACCTGGAAAAGTAGAAAAGGTGTTGAAGGTGCTTGACAACTATCGAAGTGTAGCATGATTATTGTCAAAAAGTGGTGTCAATATTTAAACCATTTATTCTTTATGTCCCTGTCTTTTGAATACGTATACTTGATTATTATGGTATGGTCAGAAAATGGTCAAAAAAAATAAACGTAATTTATTTGTCACATTCGTTGACAGCGCTGTTAATTTATTCACAGTGATACCTTGTTTATCCTTATGTTTAAGATACCAATCACCAAGATTAGTTTTAAATATCAACATGGTGTATTTGATTCTAAACTATATGCTTCTGAGTTTGACTGGTATTAGATGCAGCTACGAATGAGAAAATCAATTGATTCTTGCAATGGAATTACAGTTTATATCCGTATATAACTCTCGCCCAATACCAAACAGCATATACTACAATCTGCGGTAGCATAATCAGCTGACAGGTCAGAGGGAACGCTTCTTCTGTTCTGGATGTCGTAATTATAACGAAAACATAAATACTGATCTATAGTATCCTTGAGTGATTCATAATCACGTAATGAGCTCTACCCTCTATTAGGCTGAAAGTTATAAGGGCACACTACTTCAGGCTCCGCCAGAAATAACTAAACCAACAATAAACACGCAATTATGCTTGGTTATAGAACAATCAACACACCACACTCTGCAGTGTATATACTCCAACACTCCAGGCAGATCCTTTTGAAAAAGATAATTCAACTCTGACATGCGCAGATTTCTCACGAGCGTCCCAAAGAACGACAAAATAATATTCCTCAGTGATTTCAATGTCAGAGTGTACCAAGACTCAGAAACCTTGAAACCCATTCTTTGGAAACATGGCGTGGGTGGCTGCAACGACAACGGGCGCCTTCTTCTTGAATTGTACTCAGATTTTCATTTCACCATGAAAACACCGTATTTCAGCAGAAAGGCAGCCTGAAAATGACCTGGATGCATCCTAGATCAAAACACTGGCACCTAATCAATTACATCATAGTACGCCAGAGGGACTTAAAAGATGTCATTCACACCAGAGTGATGCTCAGTGTAGAGTGCTACTCAAATCATCGTCTTGTTCTTTGCAAAATTGACTTCCACTTCAAGCCCAGGCACATAAAACAAGAGGTACCCCGAGAAGGGAGCTTCAGGTCATAATCCTGTTGTCAGCAGACGTCGATGCAGATTTTCAAGAAAGCCTGCAGTCAAGACTTGAAGAACCTAATTTTCTGACAAAACTGTCTCCGGAAGAAATGTTGAACCACATCAAGGCAGCCATTCTGCAAACCTCAGAAGACATCCTTGGATTGTTCACTAAAAAAAACAAAGACTGTTTCAATGAACACAACCAAGAAATCCAAGAATTGCTTTCCAAAACGAGATCAACGTACAAACCCCACCTCGCTCAACTATCCACAGAAGAATGCAACCTTCCGCCTCATCGGCAGCTTTCTCCATGGCAGGCTCTGAGACATACAAAATGAATGGTGGACAAAGCGTGCAGATTAAACCCAGCTGTACGCTGACATCAGTTACTACAATGGGTTCTATGAAGAGTTGAAAGCAGTGTATGGTCCTTCCATCCAAATACAGAGCACACTACGGACTGAAGATGGCAAAGAGATGGTCACTGAAAGGGAATCTATCCTGAACCGCTAGTAAGACCATTTCCATACCATCTTCAGCAATAGCCATACAGTCCATGAGGACGATATTGACAGCATCTCACAACAGCCATCAAAGATGAGACTCGATGAGGCACCATTACTGTAAGAGATTGTAAAAGCCATAGAACAGCTTCATCATGGAAAGGCTGCAGAAAATGATTGTAGCCAACCAAAGATATGGAAGAGATGAGGCCCAGTATTGCACACCAAACTCCACGAGTTCTTCATTTGCTGCTATGAGCGAGGCAAACTTCCACAAGACCTATGAGACGCAGTCATGCAGTCATAATAACCTTGTACAAAAACTTTTGACAAACGTTTGACTTCTTAAACTACAGTGGGGTAACTCTACTCTCCATTGCAGGCAAAATCCTTACTAAAACGTTGCTGAACAGACTGGTGCCTTCCATTGAAGAAGAACAACCTCCAGAGAGTCAATGCGGTTTCAGAGCCAATAGGGGTACAATTAACATGGTGCTCGTCATGAGACAGATCCAGTAGAAATACTGAGAACAAAAAGGCCTGTATGTCACATATGTGATCCTGACGAAGGCATTTGACAAGGTAAGCAGAACTGGACAGTGGAGAATACTTGAAAAGCTCGGCTGTCCTTCAAAGTTCCTTACCAAGATCATCATGAACACCAGCTTGGTCAGAAATCCTGTCACAGACCTTTTCCATCGCAAATGGCGTGAAACAGGGCCCGCACATTGTTCTCAATCTTCTTCAGCATAATACTCCAAAAGACAACAGAAGACCTTGATTATAAAGATTACATTTATATTCACTTTCGTTCTGATGGATCTCTTCATCTTAAGGCGACTTCAGGGCTCACGGTACTAATTCAGTTCCCATAGTAAACCTATGCAAACACCATGATATCAAAAATTAAATAACTTAAAATTACTGAGTGCCCATGATCAAAGCTATTTATATTATTATAGATGAAACCTGGATGTCAGCTTCTTTGTAGAGGATATGATATGATCAAGAGAAACACAAAATCATCGTACAAAAGAGTTGTCTTAGTAACCACACTACTATATGACGCCGAATCCTGGGACATCTACCTCCTTCTCCTTGAACGCTTCCATCAGCGCTGCCTAAGCACCATCCTCAACATCCACTGGAGTGACGTCGTTACCAACACTAAAGTCCTCAAACAAGTAGGGATCACCACGCCGCGCATGAAGATCACCACGCGCTGGGCAGAGCATATCTTCAGGATGGAGGATGATCGCCTGCCAAACATCGCACTATATGGTATGCTGTCCACTGACCATCATGATAGAAGCGCACATTGAAACAGATATAAAGATTTCTCTAAGAAGACCCTCACTACCTGTGGCATCGACCACCGCCAATGGGCATCACATGCTGCTGACCGTGAAGGCTGGTGACGTTTTATCGGGCCACTGCTAGTTTTGAACAAAACAGACAAGCCAGCTTGGAGGATAAATGGTGGCAAAGAAAGAACAGGTAACCATCGGTAATACCTAACTTAATCGAGACCATCCCCTTTAGCCTATGTGCATGGACGTGTCTGTCCGGTATTGGGCTCGTCAGCCACTAGCACGCCTCCAATAGACGTGGACATCCTCCTTCCTAAATCTTCACAAGCGAAATCAAGACAACAATGATAGGGTCAATAAGATATTAACGTGTCGTTAAAATCTAAGCAGCCAGATGGCCAACCAAGCAAGGAAGACAGGCAAAATGTCTTTTCAGGTGTATGTTAGTTACATTATGGCTGTTATATATAAGTCAAAATAGAACATCGCGTTTAGATACAAATAAAGTTTTACTGTATTTGATAATCAATACTGATTCTAAAGCAGTTTTTAAAACGAAACTACACCAGCAAGATTTGGTTTGTTAGACAACTGGTGTTATTAATTGACCAAATTCGTAAACATTTACAACAAACGGAATATTCGAAGTTTCCACACAAAACAAAAACTCGAAAGAAATATTGAACAACTGCTTCAATATATCTAATTATTTTTATTTCTTTGTTTGGCATTCAAGGGCATCATTAGTCACGTAGAGATACTTTTACGTTAATTTCTATTTACACACATTTGACCCTTTATTGATATTTAGACATATAGACAATTATTGCTATTTACACATATAGACATATTGTTGCTATTTACACATATAGACATTATTGCTATTTGCACATATAGACATATTATTGCTATTTACACATATAGACATATTATTGCTATTTACGCATATAGACATATTATTGCTATTTACACATATAGACATATAATTGCTATTTACACATATAGACATATTATTGCTATTTACACATATAGACATATTATTGCTATTTATTTGCTGATCTTTATGACATTTCAATAACTTCTTTTCCTTTTTATTGAATTGCTTTCTACTTTCGTTGCTGCAATAGTTTTTAAGTTCTGTTTCGTATAACAGCAAATATTACTAATAATGGTGATGATAATAATGACAATAATAATAATAATAATAATAATAATAATAATAATAATAATAATAATAATAATAATAATAATAAAGATGGTGATAATAATAATAATTATAATAATCATTATAATGATAATAATAATAGCAATAATAATAATAATAATAATAATAATAATAATAATAATAATAATAATAATAATAATAATAATAATAATAATAATAATAATAATAATAAAATACATCAAACACAGCTGTCACAAGCTCGATACGTGTATATCTCTTGTTGCCAAAAGATGCGGCAGAATGCGAAAATCGATATAGATAATATCCTAATATGACACAACTATGTGGAAGGTGTGTGTGTGAGTGTGTGTGTGTGTGTGTGTGTGTGTGTGTGTGATTTAGATTTTTACTTAGCTTTAACAATTTTTCAGTCATATTGCTAT